GGCCTGCTCCTCCGGCACCGGGCGTTCGGCTCGGCGCGCTCACAGGTCCTCACCTCAGCAGATCCGGACAGGCGTCCGGCGTGCTGTGACCTCCCTGACCCCGGGGGTACTCGATGTGGGAAACTGATGTCGACTTTGTTTAATTTTGTTACATAGCTTTGCAGCTGTGTTAAGATGAGAGTTAACCACTGACATTACTTCAGTTCTGTTCTTTGTGACCTTGCTAACAAGGACTGCTGTGAGCCCAAATGTAGCTAACAAGGACTGCTTGCGAGGCAGATGAAGAGAAACAAGGACCGATAAGGACTGATAACCAGAACTTTGTTGTCTGTAAGAAGCCCCCCTCTAGCTGAAACTGGTTCTGTGATTTGGAACTCAGCCAACACAGCTCAGGAATTTTTGAGCCAAAGGTGAAAGCACACAGTGAGGTGGACTGCGAGCCTTCATCCAGAAGACCCCCACAGACGACCACCAGACAACACTGTACAAGTGCTAAAGAGGGGCGGAGTATGATAATGAATTCCTAGAAATAATTATAATAATCGTGCCTATTCTAGGACTAATTGTAATAATCCAGCCTACTTAGATAAACTTTGTAATAAATAGATGCATACTTCGTGACTCGGTGTGCAAGATAAGAGGAGTGGTCCCCCTTGCACCCAGCGCTGCAATAAACATACCTGCCTTACAACTCCCCGTGAGTTGTGAAGTTTCCTTCCGCCCATCATGCACTTCACTTCTAACCCGTAAACAAACGAGATGCGCATCGCAGTTAGGGATATCAAACCAGCAGGGAAAAAGAGGTGCGGGCAAAGGTCCAAACACATGATTTACAGTTAAAGTTGTATTTATCACATTGTTCAGAATGGAACAGCCTGACAACAAACATTCAGGCCTCAAGGGTAATCACACGCCACAAACATGCACCAACAAATCCTACTTGGGCCAGTGGTTTTTGCACAAATATTTTTCCTAAAGGAAATTGTAACTTCCTCCCCAGAAAACTTTAATTGTTTTAATGGTTCCAGTCGACAACAAAGTACCTTATCTCTAAGCCACAGAGTACAAAGACTCCTTTATGTTGTTTCTGCTCCCTATACAAAAGTCGGCCATACGGGTTCTGTTTTAACTTCTGCTGCTTAAAACCAGTAGACCTCTTTTTTCTGCTCAACAACGTGACAGGACAACAAATCCTACCAATACAGAGCAGTACAGTAAGAAATACCATTATCTGCCCAGGGAAGGGGAAGAAGGCACCTTTCCTGGTTGGGCTGAGCACCGAGGAGAGTCTGAGGTCTACCTACAAGCAAGAAAAGACTTCTTGCAAAGCCTTGGTAGCAAAATATACAAGGCGTCCATTCTTACTATTTACTTACTATGTATATTCACATGCTACAGTATCACAAAATGCCCTTTGCTTACTGCTAGGGAGATTCTGACCCTTTCTCCCGCAGAACGCTATCCTCCTAGGCTGGGGGAGAGGTCATCTGCTTTTCCAGCCCATTTCAAGAAGACCTTCCCAGAATGGTCTGCGAAGAAATCACTTCTGTCTTCTTGTTCCAGAGTAGAACAGATGGAACAAAACCGGAATTTTCAGTTCCCTGGACTGCTTTATTATGCCCCTGTTAGGACACGTACCAAACGTTTTACAGGCACTGCACTGTTTTTCTTAGATTGTTGTTATCTGAGACCTCCTTTTGTTTCTCATTCACAGTCACGTGGCTTCTCAAGGGTAAAACATTCAATGCACCCATGACAACCACAAAATTAATTAAACCCTTTTGTCAGGGGTGTCTGTGCTGGGAATTCTAGAGTGTTCCAGGGATTTCAGTTACTAATGTGTATCACCATTATTTGTAGCACAGGAACACCTGCGACTCACGCGGCCCAGGGACACACTTTGACAGAATTGCAACAATTAGAGATAGTATCAACACCTCAACAGTCCTTGGCAGGCTAGGAATTCAGATTCTGGACATGTTTTTCTTCACAGCCAGGTCCCCTTCTGTATTCCATGAACGAAGAGGGGCTTATCCAAAATTCTGAAAAACTAGGAACTTGCCTTCTGACAACCTTGTCTTGGTAACAAGAGGGGAGTGTTACCTCGTGGACGGACCAAATCTCTCAAGTATCTTACAGCAGAGATAGGTGTGGTCCCAGCCAAGACTGAAGAAAAGGAAAGCAGGACAGCATCGAGTCAAGCAGTAGTAACAGGCAGCACAAAAGCATGCCACGCCAGCCATCACTAACAGAGGAAGGCAGTAATAGCGCGCCCCACCCTTCTCTCCGGTGGGGCAAAGGCAGACGTCTAACGTCACGTAATGCATCTAATGAAAGAAGTTTCACTCTTTCAAGCTGAATAACACATTAGCACGTTCATCTGT